TGAAATTTCACCCCGTTACATATTTTATTTTACTTTAGAAATCAAAAAAAGTCGTCAAAAAGATCTAATCGTGCGAATAAATGTTCTAAAATTAGTGTTGCCGGTAATTATGTCTTTTTAATAAGATTAAAACTAAATTCGCATGTGTGAGATGAAATTTCACCCGTGACAGCTTTTTTGAGAGTTGATATATATCACAATGTGTAAGAACTGAAATTTTCAGGCGCTTGTTCTAATGCCTGACTGCTAAATTGTGGAATAATCTGCCTTTTTGCGTGTGCAAAATCAGCCATCATGTTGGAGAGTTTAAAGCACTCCATTAAATTTTCTGTCACAATATTTAAATTTTTGATGTTGTAATATTGCTTTGTGCATTTTGATTTTCAATTTTTTTTACTTTCTATTTATTGTATTGTTAATTTTCCTATATTATTATTTATTTTTACGTTTTTCATATTTTTTATTCTCATCAGTTTGCAATTTTTTGTATTTTTGCGTATTTTTCGCATTTTCTCTTACATTTAGTAGTTTTTCACTTCTCTCTTATCTTTGTGCGTTTATAGTCGAATTTTGTTTGTACTTGATTTTTTTTTGTTTATCTATTTTGTATAATGACTATGCATTTGTGAGGATTGTATCTTAAATAATGCTTGTTTTCTCTCTTTCTCTCGTTGCGGCGCTTTTCTCTGCCGTCGCTATCTTTTTCGCTCGCTCCAGTTTGCGGTCGCTTATTTCGTTGAGATGAAATCTTATATGTTATTTCCGTGAAATGATGCGCGTACAACATCCGACAACGGCGGCCGGGATCGAGTCGTTCTCGACGAGGCTCGTCCCTATATCGATTTCCACCTGCGTCCGTTTGACTCGCGCGCGCGCCTGCTCTCCTCTGTTCTCTATAACGTGCCAATTATTCTCGGGCGTTCGTGGGAACGGCGTAATAATTCCGTAATAACTTCCGGAACATCGCCCGAGGAACAACGAGTACGAGTCGCCGCAAAACTGACAAACGATGTCGCGCGTACGATATTCCAATCATTTTCCGGAACAATATCTGACAATTTATGTCCGACTCTCTCTCTCTCTCTCTCTCTCTCTCTCTCTCTCTCTCTCTCTCTCTTTCTCTCCTTTCCTAACATTGCGTTGTGCAAATCCTAGACGTCACGTTACAATGTTGAGTTTTTTTCCTATTAAATACCTCTTATTTGAATATTTACCTTAAAATAATTTGAAATCACACACACACTGTGTGTTTAGTCAATTATTTCGCACTTCTGCTACATGAAATTTCAGAAAGCGCGCCGAAAAGAGAACAGATTTGTCTCTTTCACACCGCGAATTCTCATATAACGTAAATATCGCCCCACTGCAGGTTTGACATTATTTGTCTTTACTCATAAAACAATTGTATTTTTCTTCGATATTTTCTTGGCGCGCGCGTGTGTGTTTGTGTGTTTGCGCGTGCGCACGCGCGCGCGCGCGCGCGCAGCTCAAAGCGTTATACGTACTTTGCTTCGATCTTCTTGAAGCAACGAAAGGTAAATAAGAACGCGTATTTATATGCGCGCAATTTTTCATGTTACTTGTGACGGAGCAGCGAGCACATCCCGCGTACCGTCACGTACGTTTCCCGCTTGGACGGATAAATAACGGCTACCGCAAATATTGAATTAATTAAATGGCGCTTTAAATTTATCGTCGCGTTAATGCAATATTGCAGTTTGGAATTTCGACCGCGCGGCAATTTACGCCTCTCTCTAGAGCCGGTAACTACGTCTTTCTCCTAGAAAGCAAAGAGAACTATTTCTAATAAGATCCAACCGCGAGTGGGGGACACTGCAAATTAATTAATTAAATTCTTGAAATTCTGAAAACGGTCAAACGTCAGGCGCGACAGTGAATTGCATTCTTTCCGCAAGACAGAGTTTTTTCAAGTTCCTTTCCTGGGGAAAATTCAGGAATCTTCTCGCGCGTGTATTTAATATAATCATATTATTTTGTCGGTGGACGTGTGGACAAAAGTTCCGCGCATAGAAAAAACACTGTAAAAAAAAAAACATTGTTGTGAATATTTGCAATAAAAAAAACATTAATTAAAAATATACGTTTGTATCGATGCGATAAATCAAACGCGGGAGAGAGACATCGAAGTGACAATCTACAACCGATTCCGTTCGTATGTAAACCGACAAATTTTTCCAACTTACTATATGTACTATATGTACTTTATATTAAACATTGCACAAACTTTTTTATTCACTTTTGCGAATCGTGAGTTCTCAACTATCGCAATATTATTTTACGCATAGTTCATAATTAATAATCTCTCCTCTCTCTCTCTCTCTCTTTCTCTCTCTCTCCCTCTCTTGTGTTATACAAGTTTGACAAACACGCGTATGAAGTGGTAACTGAAGTTGAACAAGCAATAGGGTTCATTAAATGGTTCATTAAACTCTATTTCACCGTATCACTCTGTGTTTGTGTTGCATATTCAATCAGCGCAACATTGCGGCAGGCAAATGCCAGTTGCATTAAGTTATGACAGGCTGATATTCGTTTGACGCGGTGTGTATATAAATATATATATATTTATATATATATATATATACAATATATATTTTATATCCACATACACACGCAAATTACTTGTATGAACTCTTCGCGATCGCGCGGCGATTTTTCCGCTCTCTGTAAACGGGTATATATGTATGCCGCCGTTTGCGCGACACGTAAATCCGTGCGATCCGTCGTCGCTTCTCGCGGCAAAAACTTTCAGTTGATATGCGCGTAGGAAAAGTTATCGCGCAAACAAAGAAAACAAACTTGATAACAACGTTAGCCACGGAACCGCCGCCGTCGCCGCTGCCGCCGCCGCCGCCAGAAGAGTTTCATGCGGCTTGCTACATTGTAAAATTGCCGCGTAAGAAACCGCGAATGCAGTTGTGAAAACATCGGATTAATTAAACGACGCTTTAAACTTGTAATCGCCTCCGTTAATTCTCTCGCCACGAATTGCGTTCTTTTAGGGATAAGGGGGAAAAGTAAAGCGAGATTACGTCGCGGAATTTTACGAGGCGAACGTGTGCGCGCGTGCGTGTGCGCTTCCCGAAGTCCCGACGTGTTCGTGAATTGTTTCGCATCGCGAACTGCAACATCTCACATTTCTTTCATGTGATACGCGAATGTTATATTTAATAGCTTACTGATGTGTATATATATATATATATCTTTCTCTGAGAACAGCCGATCGCGAATATGCTTATACTTTCGAAGTAACTTCAGCTATAAAAATCCAAACTGTGATCTTTGCGCGCCCAGTTTTCACACATTCTCATTGAAATTCATAATGTTTCAAACCTCCGGACTTACGTAACTCACTCTCTGTCTGTCTGTCTGTCTGTCAGTCTGTCTGCGTAAGCGACCAAATTTATGAAGTCGTCCGCGAATTGTAATATAAAATATATTATACGTACGTAAAATATGTTTCACATTCAATCCGTAAATGGCGTCGAAAATAGCGCTGCGTTCCGTAATTTGAATAAATGTGACGTTACAAGAGAAAAAGTGAATTACATTTGAAAAGTTAATTAACTCACATATGTAGCGGCCAATGACAACGACCAATTTATTCACCGAGCGCTGTATAGCAGTACCTGGTACAGTAAATGAATTAAAAATCTAATAGTTTTCTTTTTTTTTTTTTTTTTACTCATAAACGTCATTTAATATATTAAAATACAAGATTTGTATTGAAATATAAGAATTAGATGGAAAAAAAAAGGTTTGCTAGAATAGAGAGCAAGAAGATTAGTCACTACGTAGCTAGCTAAAATTTGCTAAGCTTATTGAATTTTTTTTGTTTCGCCAACGTTTTACTAATGAAAAAAAAAATTTATTAGACTCAGCAAACTTTTCTTGCTGGCCATATAATAGCAAAACTTCTTTTTCCGTGTTATATATATATAGTATATATATATATATATATATATATATACAGCGCGCGGTAATAATGTGCGTTATTGTTGCTCGACGTTGCGTACCTGTGTATTGTATTATCGCGTTACTATTGATTTTTCGCGATTATTGAGATTCACGGGGAAAAGTACTCAAGTTAAAAATTCTTCGGACAAAATCTTGTTTATTTTCTCTTCTTTTATCTTGTCGCGTCGAAATTAGATGACACTAATGCTTTTACTTTGTACAATTCCAAAGACGTTGCTGCCGTCGCCGCTGCCGCCGTCGCCGCCGCCGCCGCCGTCGCCGCCGTTCGTTCTGCATACCTAATTAAGGTGCAAATAAGCGTAGCGTCGCTTTGTCTCGAGATCAACGAAGAAAGGAACGTGCAATGGTGTGCACGCAGAAGCAAGTTAGTCGTTGCTTAAAGAAAAGGAATTTTGATATTGTTGACGACATCCCCGTATTTCCTTCTCCTCGCTTTTCCTCATTAATTTTACGCGGTAGCAGAAATTCTTACGAAAAATGCTAAACACATTGCACGTTTATAACATCACAACAATAAATTCTGCAAAACGAGAACAATGTTTGTCTTAACATATCGAGATACTGGGACTCGCTGTTACATCGCTATTGACCCAATTGTGATTCTCTACATGTCGTTACGACTGGCACACCACCGATATCTCCGAAACGACGCTCGACCGACCACAAGCCTGGTGTTGTTTCCACTATTCTCGATCGATCACAATTGATAGCAACTTTTTTTCACGTTGGACATAGAGAAGAAAAGTAAGCAACAATTTAAACTCTAATGTTTAATTTTATTTTTATTGTTGTTTTGTTTTTAAATAAGAGAGGAAGACGTGAACTCCGTTTTAGCGCGTCAATAATTATCAAAAAACAAGTGAGAAAATCGATTTGATTGATTTTTCTAAAAGACGTTAATTAAGATTGTTGTTATCCCACCGGGCGTTTATTTGTAAATTGAACTCGTTGCGTTAATCAGGTTAAACGTTACGGGGCAACGAACCCTTTGCGAGACTCACCGTGCCCTCTCCTAAATTGTGGACGACGCAAGGCATCAGAGCCGAGGAGCCTGATTGCGCCGAAACCGATGTTGAATTTTCCGTGCCGAAGGTCATCGGCAGAGTTGGCGGCAGATCGACGTCTAACGGCTTTCCTGTTGTGCCGTCCAGCGAGTTCACATTGGCGTCGACTATTTCCGCCGCTGCGGGGTATTCTGTAACAAATTAATTAATTCTTGGTATTTTCAAGTTAATCACTTCACCATTTATAAATTAATTACCCGCAAATTACACGAAGTATGTAAACTGAGACAATAATTAAAACTCTGTGTGTATATATATAACATAGTATTGTGTAATATTAGATACAAACATGTAACATAACGATGTGGAATAAATTCAGTGAAATGCACAACGCGTGCCGTGAGAAGGAAATCGCGTACATGCGAGCAAAATTAATGAAGTTTGAACGAGGAAATCTCAGATCAATTGAATAAACAATTAATGGAAGAAATAATTAGCTAATTTAATAATTATATTGTTGGTGTAATTGCATAATAATGTATTTCACGGTTACATAAACATGTAACACATTTAATTAAAGAGATACTTGTTTTTGAACGAGGAACAGACTGCTAATTCTCACTCGAGCAATTTTTCCCATCGATGTAAGAATGACGTAATTTGTTTTTTTTTTTTTTTTTTTTTTTACAAAAGACTACGTAATTTTGCGGTGACTTGAATTCCGACATGTGCGATCGTCCGCGGATTTCGGATTCAATTAATCCCGCACTTTTCACCGTATGTTTCGAGGTTTTTTAAATTTTTTTTTTTTTTTTTTTTTTTTTTACTGATGTAACTAATACTCTGTTCCTTGGTTCTGTCGAATTAATCAACAACGTTACGTCATATTAACAAGTATTTTATAATAACGCTTCTAACAAGAGAGAGAGAGAGAGAGAGAGAGAGAGAGAGAGAAGACAGATGGATGCGATAAAACGACGCATTTATCATGTACATAACTTTTCATTAAAAAAAATGTAATGAATCTGGTTCTTTATCACACAGATGCTGGAATCGGCCGCCGAGTTTTCGGCGTCGGAGAGGTCATTGACTATTCTCGTGGTAATCGTTAAATTCGCCAAGAAAAATGGCGTTAAATCATGATTTCTGTGAGGTCGAAAATTTTTTTTACAATGACCTTGTCTGCGCATGAATACGAGTCAAATGTTCGGTTTTATGTATCACATTTAGTCGCTAGCATCCAGTCGCAAAATTTATGAGTCATTAAGTGTGAACTTGACAAATATACGTACATAATTAACGAAAAGATTCTTACAACGTGGTTCGGTAACATTTTAAATAAATTTTATTCATTTATCTTCCTTTTCTCTTTCTCTCTTCTCACTCTCTTTCTCTCTCCTCTTTCTTCTGCAAGTTATTATGTACCACGCACTATTTAATACACGATACTTCTGCGCATTTTTCCGCTTTTGCTACTCGAATCGGAAATAAACGACGTTCCAGACGCACAAAAAATTCGCTTTTACATCATATTTCGTATTCCGTGTCGTTTTGCCTATCGGCCCTGACATCCCGGCGCTTCAGCTCGCTGAAGATGCCTACAAACTGACGTGACTGTAAAAAGTATTTTCCACCGCACCACATATGCATCGCTTTTCATCCATGAGAATTTACGGAATGTTGCCGGTCATGCATGATGCTCGCAGCGGTGCGGCGGCGCTGACGTTACATTGGACGCGCGCGTCATCTTTGTCGGAATTATTTTCCTTTTCCCCGATGAGATGGGGAGTTTCAGAGGGAAAGAGAGATATGTGTAAAGCGTTTCACCACCCAGCGGGCACGAGGTGGTTATCCGTATGTGTCACGCAGATTCATCCCGCAAGACTGTCATTTATTTTGTTTCCCCTCCCCTCCTCCCGCGCGCAAAGAAGATACCGCGGCGAGTATAAAAAAAAATCGATATATCCCACGAGTACAAATGTTTGTGCAGAAACGATCGTGACGCGCGTGAGTGTGGTTAAAGTCCAGCGGAAAGCCTCTTAACGAGAATCCCTCCGGTGTGCGGCGCTGAGGCTTTGTGCGGACAACCGTTAAACCTTGTTCGACCTCATAACTACTGCTTTGATTTAACGCCTATTTTTCAGAGCCGGTGCTTACAGAGGTCGATCGGTGGCTTGGTCGGTCGGGGTGATTTCGTTAGAAGACGCTCATGAGGAAGTCGCCTGGTCGGCGACCTTTGTTGACGGACTATTATAAGCGGTTAACGATCCGCGCGTGTTAACGGCCTCGTCGTTTTTTTCCAGACGGAAAAAAAGTTATATACAGAAAAAAAAATTTATATAACAGCCGATATCGACGGCAAACGCCGAAATGTCTCGAAATTGGTTGAACTTAGAACAGTTTTCAAGCTCTGCTGTGTCTCGCTCTTTAGAGAGAGAGAGAGAGAGTTTTTTGTATTTAATTATTAATATTATTTGTAGACTTATTTATATAAATCTGTTTAATAAAGTTATTATTATTATTATTATTTGTAAAAAGAACATATTTATTTAAAAAAAAAAAAAGTAAAGCACTAAATATGCAAGAACTAAATGTGCAAGAGTTTCTAATGTGCAAAAGAGCTAAAAACTTGGAAGTTGCGCCGACAACTTTCGGACACGAGATATAAAATAGGTGTGCTACGAAAAAGAAGTCAGAGTGTAAATGTCGAGAAAATGTGGGAGATAAATCGAAAACTCTCGCGGCAACACTCTAATTCAAGTCGGTAGGTACTTTTGCGCGAGAAGCGATATACACGCGAATATATTTTGCGCCCTGCTCGTGGATTATATGTTGAATTCTCGTGACGATCACGTAACTTAAACTTCAGCGACAGAAAATTCAACGGCAGATTCTCCTAATTACCATGTGAAATTCAAGTCGCGATATCGAGTGTCAAAGTTTGGAACTACACAGCCAAAGCACTAATTACCACTGATTAATTGTTCCGCGAATCTGCTTGCCTACTCTGGTTACCTGCCGCGATTGTTTCTCAACCGTGATTATGAATTTATGAAATATATATATATACACAATTATATGTGTACACATATATATATAAATGCGTCTACTTAATATATATAATATATATATATATATATATATATATATATGTACAAATGGCAATACACAGATGTGAGATTAGACGCGCATTTTGGCACGTGAAAGCTCTTATTCCTCCGTAGCGACGTCTGAGAGAGTACTGTTCGCGTTTCGTGACGATGAAATTTCCGTTCGCGATTTCCTAGAAACGTAACCACTCACTCTCTTCGCCGGAGGCATGAGCAACGCGCGCATTCGAGATATTAGCTTTGTGCTTGCGCACCCTTTGATCTAAAACGTATATACCGGGTCTTCTTGACCCGTTTTTCACTCGAGAAAGAAAACGCGGCGTATTCGCGCGACGTGACGTTGCGATTAATCAATAAAAGGTAAGCACAGCGAGACAGATCTCGCGATCTGCAGGTGCGCCATCATTATTAGTTTTCAAAACGCAAAATAGAGAGTGATCACAGTTTTTCTTCAAAACGCATCCGTCGAATATACGATACAATACGCGCTACGACACATACGAAGACCACAGAGGAAAAACTTGATAAGTCACATTTTTTAGTAATGGTAGAGAAGAGCGATTTTACAATTCGAAACGTATATTATTTATATTATGTATTTTTTGTGTTACACGTTTTATAAAAATGTTTATATCTCGAAATCTATTAAAAATTTCCCGCTTTCTCGCTTTGGATAATTAAAATACTCCATTTTAACTACCAAATAACATCAAAAACAAAAAATCGAAAAAAAAAATGGATTATCAAGTTTTTCTCTCCTGTGGTCTTCATATTTGATAAACAATTCGAATTTTTCTCGCGCTTTTCAATTACTTATTATTTTTTTTTGTCGAAATTGTTTGAATTTCGTTATTTTTCGCGCATTTTAAAATATTTATATGTTTATATGTTACGTAACATTGAATATGCGTATTAAATATTTAAATCCGCCAAAAAATGTTGCAGTTTTAACAAGCGCGCGCACGTAAATGTCTTCTGCGGAATAATTTTAACGTTAGTCCTGTAAATGTTTTTTTTTTGTTTTTAGTTACGTACCGTAAGGAAAATTCGAGAAAAAATTTAAACAGTTGATCGTTGTTACATGTGTACGTAAGCGACACGTTCTTTTTGCGCGCGCGTGATGCCGGTAAACAGCGTCCGCAATCAATCGGTTTCGCCGAATTTTCCCGATTCGTTCGGTAGCAAGTGTCGACAAATAACGAACATGGCAATTGTTTGCGAACAGCCAAGTCGAGCGATTCTTTCGGTAGTTATTAACCGCGTTTGTAAAATATGTGTTAAATGAAATAAATTATTTACTATGCGTGCGTGCGCGCGTCTTTTAATTCAGTGGTGTCTCGTTTTTTAATCAGTCTCTAGCGAATATCATTAAACATTCCTTTTATCCTGTAAACTCTGGACTATTATGTTTGACGCGATTTTTATTGGACGCTAAACGTTGTAAAAATTTGCAAAAATTCTGTAAAAATTCACGAGGTTTTATTCAACGTTTTATATTAAGGAAATAACATGAATTTTGATATATTTTGTTAGTTTTTAAAAATTCTTTTGTTAAATAGTTAATAAGATTTTCTCATTTTCAAGAATCGCTCGGACATTAACGTCCGGGAATTACACTGGGATTAAACACTGATTTCAATTGGCGCGGTCGGCAGACGTTTTAATTTTACTCGTTACATTATTCCCGCAAGGCACATTATCCCTTGCTACACCTTCTTGCAAGCAGAAATCGCTACTTTTTAGGGTTATTAAACTTGCCGCGCTCCGTTCCCCAACCTCGTTTTACGAAAGATTGAAATAATCGCTTCCGCGCGCGCAAATATCGACTTCTTCAATAAGAAGATAGCAATTAAACATTTCGCCTGTACTCTTTTCTCTCTGATAAGTACAAATATAGCAAATAACAAGGGAACGAGGTCACGTTTATTATTTCGACGAAACTTAAAGTATGCCGTCGCCCTTCTTTTTTCTTCTTTTGTTTCTTTCAATTGTTTTCTTTTTTTTTGTTCGCTTTTTCTTTAACTTTAAATTTGTAGCATCACATTGCTACAAGATACACGGGAGATAAAGCCTCGAGAGGC